TAGAGAGAACAAAAGAAAAGTACAAGTATCCTTAGCTGCAACAACGCGCAATATCTATCTTTTAAGAACAGAAGAATTCAACTTTTTGCAACGGTTGTGATAAACCTTCGTAGATTATGGTCAGTCGGGCTTGAAAGAAGATTAGAGAAGATCTCGTGTAGCAAATGAAGTTTGCTCGTTGCATTACGACGATCTTATCAGAAAGAAAATTGAAAGATTTGCACTACTATATTAACAATTTCATAATTACCTATACTATCACCTATAGAAGAATAACGGATTAAAACAGAATAACCAATGTCTTTTTCAAGAAAATACAAAAATTATTATTTAAAAAAAATTAAATTTAAGTTAAAAAGCGATTTAGAAAATCTATTTTACTATATAAATTTTATTTTATTGAATAATAATAACTTAAGCTTTATTAATTTAAGTAAGATGAAATAAACTAAACTTTCTTATATTTTCAAAAATTTTTTTTATTTTTTTGTAACTTATATACAAATTTTGAATAGCTACATTTATTTACTTTGTTGTTATTACATTTTTTTTATTAACTAATTATGAAAGTTTCACGTTTCTTTACGTATAATAATCAAATATATTTCATAGAAATATTTATTCTCTCAGATTTGCAACAGACGCACGTGTCTCTTCGAGTTTATTTAAATATTTACAGAATAATAATCTTAACATCTCTCTCTCTTAGACACACGGATAAATTTTTTAATAGTTCTTGCAAATGTCTAACTCTTGACATATTTTTTGAATTAATGAAATATCTCAAGAACTTACGTTGTGTAGAAGATATTTTCTTACTTGTGCCTCTAGGGGTTTCGGATGAGATTGGTAACGAAAGCACATACATTTTCTATATATGGCATACAAAAGCTTTAACATTCTGCATCGAAGACAAGAAAAAGCGACGGAATACAAAAATTTCCCTTAGGCATTTCTCATTCTCGACACATATCTTGGCAGGTGGATTTCACTCGTGATTTGGTGATCTGTCACTTTATCTTTTTCGCTAAATATTGCATTTTTGTCGTCCTTGTAATGATTACACGAGTAACTCTCACGATTAATGCACAAAATTATGTTTTATCCGCGAAATTACATTCGTTTAATGCATTTCTTCCTTTCTCTAATTAAAAAATTTTTGTTTTTTTAATTATAACTTCATTTTAAAATTTATCACATGATTAATTTTTTTCGCGTTGGATCTACTTTTATCCTTTATTTTTATATACAAAGGAGAAAGGGAGTAAGATGATGACTTTGAGATTTATCAACTTTTTTTAATTTTCAAATTTGTCAATTTGCCCCATCTGCGGTGAGATAACTTTTAATAGTGGGTAAGATAAGAAGACAAAGAGGCAAAAATCCACTTTTTATAAAAAGGATTTATTTTATTGTAATAAAAACATTTCTATTACTTTAGTATTATAATATAAGAACGCAATTAAAGAAAAATAAAAGCAAAAAGATTAATGAACTGCATATGATGAGATTTATTTACGCAGATAACCAATACTAAATAATTAATTTGTAGTACTTACAATTAGTCATATTTACAATGCATATTATAATAATAAATATGATCTGCATGCACAAATATCTGATCTTGTCTACTATTAAAAGTCATCTTATCCACTGAAACAAAGTAACGCTTACAAAGCAAAAGTGAATTTTGTGTTCTAAGCATCGACCGTCGAAACTTTCCTAAGTTCATCCATTCCTACAAAATTATTTAAAACATGACAAAGCAAAAGTCTGTTCTTCTTATCACATTTATGTTTATAAGTGCTTTTATTTTATAAGCATATAATAGAGTTTACTGATAATCTAAAGTAGTCGTAAATGGAATTACTTTAACCAATATTGTCGACTTATCCTTATATAGCGTATTTTTGCTAACAAACCGTAACTGGTTAGAATTAAATTCGCAGTCGTAATGGACGGCGTTTCTCGTGTCTCCGGAGAAGAGAATCTTCTCACAGGGTCTGAAAACGCATTAGCTAATTGTGAGTCTTAGAGAGTTTTATGGGATACGTTCGACGGCAGGATGCAGTTATGACCTGCTTTTATGAAACATTTTCAAGACGTTAATAGATCTTATTAAAAAGTCTATCGTTTAAAGTAGCAAATCGCCTCATCTGATTAACTATTATTAGCCTGCAGTGCATAAAATTATCAAGAAATCGTGTTTTTAAAGATAGAATACACATATAACACATGCAAGAATTACGAAATAATGATATACGACGAAAAATTTTGTAAGTACTTAGCTACACTTTTTATTATGTTTATTTTTGCAAACAGAATAAAAATACGACGATAATTTTGATTACTCTTTTCCTACAAATTTAACATACTGCAAAATGCAATAATAATTTAATATACTTTACTTAAAATATTATAATGATGTTAAATAGTATGTAAAGCCTGCGGCACACGATGCTTGTTTTCCTACTGGATTGCTTGCATTTTGGTAAATTACTAGAAATTCTCCATTCTGCGTAGCGCAATTCTAGTAAATTATTAAAACGCAAGCAATTCAGCAGGAAATCAAGCATCATATGCCTCAAATTTAATAAAAAAATGTTTTCATTAAATTTGACACAAAATATTGTCAATTTTTTATAATAAATTACAGTCATTAAAGCGCAACGATTCATTTACAATAAATTACAAATCTTGTACACTACGTAGAATAATCAACAAACTGTTTATTAGAACGCATAGAATTCTTGAAAACGTAAATTTTTTTTAAAGACAATATATATATAAATAACAAAAATGCAGCCCAGTACGAAAAATGCAAAAGTAATTCTTAATATAATCGTGTTATTATCGAAAAATTTTGTTAAATATTATTACTACTTTTGATATTTAAAATTTCTCACAAGTCAAAGATAAAAATACGAAAATTTAACTTTAATTTTTCTCCTACTTTCTATAAATTTAACACACAGTAAATTAAAAGAATTGACGTAATAAATAATAAAAAAATTTGTTGCATGTGTATGAATAAAGCAATTAATTTAAAGATAAACTAATTGCAAACAGATGGGTATTGCAACAGATCTATAACAGATCTGGAAATAACCAATAATACTATTTTATCAAAATGTATAGTCATTAAAATAACCAATTATCAGTACAGCAATACCATAATTAATATACATGTACCATTATATATGAACCATTGTATTTTGTCATGTTGTCAGATAACATTCCGATAATAATTTACTAATATTAAAAAATCTGGGAATCAATCTGTAAATCGTCCGTTTTTAACATGACTTAGTAGAAAGAGGATAACATACATTTTTAAGTACAAATTATTAAATAAATTGCAAATAAAATAAGAGAAAAAAAGACGAGAAAAAGATCAGCTGCCTAATAAAATATTTTATATCTAGTATGTCAAAAATATTAAGATGTAAATTATTATTTTCATAAGAATTACTGAATTTCTCTCTCAGATTTACAAATCCTTGAGCAATCAAGACTATTATGCTGTATCTTGAGATAGAACAAATTAAGACATGCAGTATTTGATATTGACTTGAAAGATTGTCTTCGATTTAGAAATTGATTACACTTTGGTGTTGAAATTATTATACGAGCATACAACATGATGTAACACCTCATAATACGCACACACATTCATATTCACATATACAGCATAAGTAGTTAAAAAAAAAAGTGTAACAGATTTATGTCTCGGAAACAAAGCATTTTAGAGAACAATATTTCATACAAAAGTTGCTTAATTTGGAGGGTATAAGATGGTGCTATTGGTTTGACCTTAAGAAGTTGTTTAAAGAACACATAAAGGTCATAATCAATTTCTTAAAGCCCCATATATCTACTCAATGCATATTCTAATAGTTTAGTAAAACATTTTGTAATGACTGTAACAAAATATTTTTTTATTAAGTACTTTTCAAATTATAAGGCTTGAAAGTTACAATGTCATCGGTATTAGTATTACCTAAGGTGATCGACCGTCAGCCAAAATCTCTTTAATGATCTAGATAACATTTGTCAAGATCAAAACCATTGGAGGTTGTAATTCTCATTTTCATTTTTGCACTAAAAATTTAGTTTTACGTAAACACGGCAATAAGAGGTATAATCTTCAATGATCTTGATCTTGACTAATGTTATCTAAGTCATGATCTTTAATCACATTCAAGAGTTTTTAACTGTCGGTCGATCACCTTAGGTAATGCTAATCGATGTAACATTGTAACTTTAATTATAACTTGAAAAATATTTAATAAAAGAATATTCTATTACAGTAGTATTTTGGTAACCTATAAGAATATGCAATGAAATATCCCTAGTAGCACACTTTATACGGGGTATTTTTATGATGTTCGAAAGACATACAAACGTCGTTTGGATGTCCCCTGGAGATTTATGCTGTTAGGGACATGGGGTTTTACCTATGATTCTTACTGATCTTCAAACAACTACCCAGAGTCGAATCAATGTCACCATCTTATGTATCCCCCTTTAAATTATACAACTTTTGTAAGAAACAATATAAATGTTCAATCTCATAAAACATAAAAGAACACAACTAACAGGAAATAATGCCTTTAACGGTCTAGCAGGATCTTAGGTGCTTGAATAATTCCGTGTGAATTTATATATACGACGTATCTAGTTCTTTAAACTGCGCACCGAGAGACGCGCGTTTTTGTAAGAAACATTTTTCTCTAAAATGCTTTATTTCCGAGATATAAAATCTGTAACATTTTAAATGATTCACCCTGTATATGTGTTATGTTATATTGCCTCTTATCTCTCGAGAACACAGACAAAAGCTTATACTAAGACTTCATAACACTTGGACAAACGAATATATTTTCTCTCGCAGTCACAGATATATATATAGTTGAATGTAATGAAGTAAAATCGTGCATTATATCTGCTCAGTTTGTCGACGGCTATTGGATTGACTGTTTAACGAATAAGACTACAAAATGACTTGGAACACATCTGTGTATACTTGTTTTCTTGTTTTTCTCACTTGCTTTGCATCAGTGATAAGTAATAGTAAATAAATTACTAGATATTAATTAACAATATCACTTAATGTCTTAATCGTTTCTAGGCTATTTTAAATATGTATATATAGTAGTAAAATAGTACCGTGTTCTATAACTTTACAATGAAGCGCACACGCGGCAGTGTGTGTGTGTGTGTGTGTGTGTGTGTGTGTGTGTGTGTGTGTGTGTGTGTGTGTTTTCTATTAATTAACATTTTTTCAATTAGATCACGAAAAGACTTTGTAAAAATTTGCATGATTGTAAAGATATTATACCTTTGACATTATTTATAAAAAGAAACTGTAAACAATTATGTTATAAGAGATAATAAATATTCGGAAGTTTAGAGATTATGAATAATATTATTAATGTTTTACATAAAAAAATATTAGAAATATGTTAGACATATGCAATAGAATAGTAAAGTGAACTCAATAATTTTGCAGATAACCAAGTCGATCCAAAGGCAATTCTTCTCAGGTTTCCTGATTGGTATTTATAATCTTGTGTATTAAAAATTGTTTCGATTATTGAAAGGTTTATATTTTGAAGAGATTTAATATTACATATCTGTTTATCAAAATGAGTAATAAAAGATGTCCGTATACGATGAAAGATTTTCAGAATAATACAAAAACGACATATAACAATTTATGAGAAATGAGCTAAAGTATTTCATATAGAACTTTAATTTCACTTTTTAAATATTTTTTAATATTTTTACTAAAACAGTAAAAATATTTCATTTTATTTACATGATATTTTAGCGATACAAATAACAAATCAATCCAGTGCGTCATAGATGATACGGATTGCATACAATATGCACATAATCAGATGAAAAAAGATAAGACTAAAACTACCGTTTTTATTCACGGATATCAAGAGAGTATAAAAGTTACACCTACCTACCAAGACATCGTCCCAGGTATCAATAAATAATAAATTGTTTATATATATATATATATATAGCTTATATATATATAATTTAATAATTGTTTGATTAAATGATATATGTAAATAAAAAATATTTGTTATTCTACTCTGTGTCACAAACATGAAAAATAAATTATTTTCTTAATCTTATTCATATTACAAAAGATTATATAGATTTATTTTACAATTATTTCTATTTGTCTCACATCAATGTGTCACGAAATTCACAACATGAATAATAAAGTATATTTTTCTTTCTGCGAAAATGACAACTATAAATATAATTTTTTACAGTTAAAAATTGAACGTATAGAATAGTAAAATATTCATTTTTTATTTTATATATTATTTACATATCTTAATTAAAAGACATTTAATAAAAAGTTTAATATTTTTTAACTCTTCCTTTTCTTCTAGAATATTAAACTGTTTTTAATCTTTAATTTTTAATTTTTCTTCTAATCTTCTAAAAAATCTGATTGTAACTCGTTCCTGCTTTTCTTCAAATGTTTATTGCACTATCATTTGCAAAATCATATGTATATGGTTGTATATGTTTGTGCAAATGTATGTGAGTGTCCACAATATATTGAATTTAAATCCGTAAATTTACTAAATCCAGATGATTGTGTCGATCAGTCACCCCTAGTGAAATTTTTTAATTTGTTATAATTTACTAGAAATATTTCATATGTTTGATTAAAAAAAACAGAAAAAAATTGTTCGTGCGCGCGATACAATATCTTAATTTTTTAGCCTATTGCTCACAAAATAACTCTGTCATTGCAATACTGGACTGGACCAAATTGGCAAATAGTGACTTATCATTGGTTTCTAGTCAAATGACTCAAATCGGACAGATAATCGCGTCTACTTTTAACTCTTTAAACGATAAAGGATACGAAGTAGCAAAATGGCATCTGATTGGACATTCTATGGGTGCTCACATTGCAGGTTGCATTGGAACATACAGTAATTTTACTTTTTTACATATTACAGGTATGTTATAAAAAAATCATTATTCGTCTTATTTTTCAATCATGATTTTATCGATTTAGAAACTGATACTTTCTTTAAAATTTATTTAAAGATATTATCTTGATCAATTTCTTAGCGACAAGTTCTAACTAATTTTATGCAGAACTAAAAACATTTTTATATTGTGATAAATAATATTTTATGATTATTATTTTTTGTTTGTATAATTACTCTTTGTTATAAAATAATATTTATAAGTCAATTTTATACAATTTAAAATCATATTTATAAACAACAAAGTTAGTATTTCAATGAACATAAAAAATAAGTCATTATTATGTTACGTATATTAATAAGTAAACGTGAAACTTGAAGTTGTATCGAGATCATGAATCTATTATCGGAAAGGTCAATTTATTAATAAGGATTTCCATATAATGATAGTTAGAATATTATACAGCATTTATTATATGTATTAATAAATACAGGTTTAGATCCCGCGGGAGTTATCTTTTTCACTGACTTGTACGAAGATTGTGTAATGAATCCAAAAGTCGCACATTTCACGGATGCTTTTTACACGGATCGTGGTACACACGCCACTGTGAAAAATGTAGGCAATCTTAATATTTACGCTAATTTTGGAACAGCACCCCAACCTGGCTGCTATTCAAATAATTCATCACAAATAGACGTGCATGGTAATTTAGTTTGGCATATTTTGACATTCTAATTAAGAAAGTTCTCACCCGTTCTTTAACATTCTTTCGTTCTATTTATTTGTACACTACTTAGCACTAAATATGATCATTTGTAAAATGTTTTAATAATGTATTATAAATTTTCTAATATGCCTACATGTTTTTATATTGAAAGAGTTATACTAATCAAATTGTTGAATATATATTTAATTCAAAGATTGTGTACATGTTGTGTTCAATAAAAATTTAAATGAGCAAACTGAAGCTACATTCCAAAACATCTTTTCCAAGAAAAATTTATTAGATATATATAGAACATATAACGTATACTACAGTATTTCCAATAAAATTTTTTTTGGAGAGAACGTTTTAGAATGTAGCCTTAGAGTTTATGTAGGGGGGACTGAGATCAAAGGTAACATGGGTAAGCTGCAACATTAAAAAAAAGATACAGAAATTTTTAATGCTAATAATTACAAACTTCTATCTCTTTCTTACGCTTTTTTTGTTTATGTCGTTTTTTTATGTAAGTGTTACAACTTACCCGAGTTACTTTTGACCCTACTCTTTCTTACATATGTGAATATGAATCATACAATATAAAGTGGAACTACTAATACTTATCACGCGACTTCATATACATTCTTCTGCATTAGAATGCAGCCACAAAAAAGCAATGAAATGGTACGCCGATGCAGTAAGAAACAAAACAAGATATTTGGCCACAAAATGTGAGGACTGTCTATTGCACTTACGTTTCAAATACTGCAAAGACAATGACCAGATTTACTTAGGACCGCATGTAAATACGAAAAAGTGAGAACAACTTTCTGTTTTCTATTTCTTTCTTTTAATTTAACACGACTTAATAATTAAATTCAATTTTTTTCTCGCAGAACCGGCATCTACTGTCTTTCAATCGATTAAAGGATGTCTTCATTTATTAGACAAGAGCAAAATAAGTATCACGAATAACCCATAGTGGTGACAAATTTAATCTGTTTGTATTATTTTCGGCCTAATTGTTATAAAAGATAATTTATAATACATCGCAATACTATTCAAATAGATAACAAATTAATATTTTAATAATTATTGTAATAATAATATAAATTATTCACACATACACACACAACGCCCATGATTTTTACGTGACATTTCTATGTAACAATTAAAGGATTAAAAAATAAAGCTATATTATTTATTGTGTATAATAATTTATCAAATTTGATTTTGTAAACTTTGTATTGGTTGCTTTCAGCTGAAAAGGCTCAGTGAACGCTTAGTGATTTTTTAATATGATTGATTACTACAATTACTTAGATCTAACAAAAAGGCAAGAATCTGATCATATTAAATAATCACTGAACATTCATTAATTAGCTTTCTCTGCTAAACGCAGCTATTTATTTAATAATATAAAATAATAACATATATTTCTTATGTAAACTTTTCTGCAAAGTATCTTGTAAAAAAAAGTGAAGAGAAAATAACAAGTCTAATTTTTGTAAATAATATTCATTTTTTACGCTACCGTCTCATAGTTCTATCCTCCGCTTATTGCAAAGAGAATGATCAGTTTTATACTTCAGATCACGTGTGGATACGAAAACGCGTGTGAGGTGATTTTCTGTCTCTACTTCTTTCTTCTAATCTAACACGAGAGTTAATATAATATTAAATTTAATCTCTTCGCAAAACCGTAGTCCCTACTATTCTTCTAATTGATTAAAAAATATCCTCCAAAAATAAGAAAATAAATATCATATATATATATATATATATAATTAGCGTATAATAATAATAATTATTATTACGAAATACTATTATTAATACATGTAATTGCTATTGCGAAAGATGATTTATAATGTAACGCATTATATTGATAATTTGCTTAAATAAATAACAAATTGATCTTTTAGTAATTTAATGATAATGTATATAAATAATTCAATGTCTTTTATTAATGTGTAATTCATTTATATGTCATTACTATAATACTCAGTAATACATTTATATGTATGTTAATGAATTAAAAACTAAAATTATAATTTAATTTTTATTAAATCTAATTTTGTAAAAACATTTGCTTTTATTAGTTAATATATACACATTTTTTGAAACAAACTTTTCTCAAAAGTACTTTTTAAGATAAGAAAGAAATTAAAGTAACAAATTTAACTAACTTTTGTAAATAACTTTGTTTTACGCAATGTTTTTTTACTAGTAGAAGTAGGCAAAAGTATAACGGTTTGACTATTTTTCCTCTTTTTATAAACTTAATTCATTGATAACAAATATTTTGCTGTATTCTTCTGCATCAGGATGCAGTCACATGAAAACGGTAGAATGGTATGCTGATGCTGTGAGGAATGAAACAAAGTATTTAGCCACCGAATGCACAGATTGTTTTTTGTTCCTACATTATGCCTACTGTATAAGATAACGACCAAATTTATTTTGTACCGTACGTAAATACGAAAAAGTGAGGTCAATTTTCTCCTGTCTCTCTTTCTTTCGTTTAATCTATTTATACAATAACACGACTTATAATAATTGAATTCAAATTTCTTATAGACCTGGCAATTGTATTCTGATTGTTTAAAAAGGATTTCTTCTACGAAATTGAAGCAAGATAAGATTCGTAAATAATCTCTAATTGCGATAAATGTGATCTCACATTATTTCTGATGCAAACAATTACTACTATAAAACACGATTTGGAACGCAATGCAATGCTATTTCAGCAGATAACAAATTGATTTTTTAACAGTAATCTAAATAATTCAAATTATAATTTAATGTATTTTTATTAAATTCGAATTCATTAAAAAATTTTTATTTATTTATTTAATGTGTACTAATAATGTATACTTTTCGAAATAATTTTGTAAAAATATCTTATGTAAATAATTTAAATATACAATGTAATATTTACATTTTTTTTAAATAAATGCTAAAAAATGGAATTTTATTTTCTACAACAAAACATTCAGAAAATTTTAATTAACTGTAACATTATAAAAAAATGTATAAAGTTATGTAAGTATACAGTTTCATCGCGACAGAGCACGTACGAAAAATGATCAAATTTTACATAAAACGAGATGATTATATATATTTGCCATAATATGAATAAATAAAATTTTCGAAACACATATATCGCATGCAAAAAATATCAATTATCTTCTAATAACTGATATTTTTAATTGATATTCTAATAAATGATATTGTTATTATTCTTCTCAAGACAATGGATTTATGAGGTGTTACATGTATAATATCTATAAATCCATTACACCCTTAGATTAAAAGAGACACTTAAAAGATAATTTAATTTCATTAATACAATGCAGTAGCATTTTATTTCGTTATTACCGATATATCTTTTACAAGCTCCACAAGTCTTTCCTATCTATTAGATTTTTTTTGTACACTTACTCAAATCAACATTCGCGAAAAGATTATTTAGGCGAATAATCATGATCGCCATTCTGCATAGTATTATCAACGTTAACTATTCATGACAAACAATTCCGTGTGATAATCACGATAATTTTATGTAGGGAATCATTGTGAGGGATAATAATGCAACGACAAACGGAGCGATTCTATTACCCGTCAACTCAAATATTATCACGTGAATGATAACACTTCGATCTTGGTAAACAATAACGTGTTGTATGCTAGCAAAACAAATACCAAGGTCTTATTTTAAAGTCTTTAATTTTTTGTGTAATTTCATTTTATGTAAATATTTTATTTTTCATGTTTTTTCAATTATTTTTCATAAAAATAAATTATTATAATTCATTAAATATCTAACATATATTTGTTAAAGAACATATTGATCCAAAACATATTTACATATTAAATTATGCAGGGCATTTCAATCGTGATTAATTTGCGAAAAAGAAAACAAAAAAGGAAAAAATAGCAAGTAATCTAATAAATTCTTTTGTACGGAGACTCGTAAAATTTTCAGTGACAAACATTGAAAAGTATTGCTCATTGACATTTAGCAACTATTGATATTTGTGAAAAAATCAAAGTTCAAGTATTGTATAATGAATTATTTATTTAATCGAAAAAATCGGATCAATATTTGTATTATAACGTTAATAATAATTTTAAAAAATAATTAAATTATTAATAACTGATATTAATATTTATTTTATTAGCCATTATTAATATTATTATGAATTTATGAGTTTAAAGAATATATATATTATATTTTTTATACAGAGTAAAATTCCATTGAGATTAAATTGCATGTATAAGATAAAAAGATACATAATATAAATTAATGAAATAAATAGAACAGAATTCAATTTTTTTGTTAATTACAATGTAAATTAAATAAATCTTTATTTAAAAAATAATATTTTTAAAATAATTATTTTAATAACTGAAACAAATTGAGATATATTAAAATATAAAGAGTTACTGTTATGATCAAAATGTGTTATTAATCGTAAATTAAATTAAAAATTTTGGTATGTATGTGTGATCATCGAAATATTGCTATACATTCCCAATCTCTGAAAATCTTTTCAATTTGCTCCCATAAAAAAACTTGCGACCGACTTGTAATTACGAAGTTTCTATACCCGAGTGAATGAACGAGTATTGAAAATTCAATAGGGGTTGACATTACGTTTTCTCTCCGAGAGGCTCGCATCGATAACCTTTCGTAACGATTACATTCTTTGCTTACACGAAAAAGGTTCCTTTTCGTAAGTGAAAAAAGTAATATGATGTGAGATTGATGTATCGATCTTATTTTTCTTCGCAAGAAAACAGAAACTTGACATGACTTTCTATACTTTACGTTCACTTCTCCGCGCGCGTTAAAAGTTTTCAAAGACTGCATCACCAACTTAAAGTCAATGCAGAATATTTATTCAGAATTTTTGTTCAAATCAATGTTTTTTATTTTTTTTAGGTACTAGTGTCTTTTATATTTTCTTTACAACAAACATTTAAGTTATTACAAAAGCTTTAAGTCTTCTTTACCCTTTTATAGTGAAATTTAATTTTTTAAAATAAATTAAAAACCGAATTTTTTTAAATAAAATTTTTTTAATAATATATTCTTTAGACAATTTCTTCTATTTTTATCAAAATATTTCTCATAATTCACAAATTAAAATTTTGTTAATTTTATCAAAATATTTCTCATAATTCACAAATTAAAATTTTGTTAAATTATATGTATCTGAAAATTTATAGAGAGAGAGGGAGAGAAAATTTTATACGGTAAATATGCATTTTAGGTGACACCTCACCGATTTCAATGTCCATTAGATAGTGGAGAATCACTCAGGACACTCTTCTACAATATATCTAAAGCACACTTTATATATATATATATATATATATTTGTACGTTCAAAAATTAATAATATTTTTGTTCAAATCAATAATATTACATAAAAAATTTTATTTAAGAAAAATTAATTAATCTAGCTTAATTTTACTACTAGGATCTTCTGCTACAGATCAAAATATGTTGACTTAAAATTCTGCTATAATAAGGGATCTGTTTTCTGTGGCCGAACAAAGTATATTCTTAGAAATTAAAGTAAGGTAAATGTTTGATATTTGTCGAAAGCGAGAAAGAGAGTTCTGATGTAGTCTAGTACAAGAATAGAAAACAGACTAAAAATTCACAGTTGTGATTTTCAAACAATTAAATTTTTCAATGAATTTTGAAGTCGGGGAATCACGAAATTCAATCGTCGGACGGCGCGCGTCGGTTCGAATGTTCATCAGTACAATCAGTGGGATTGGTTCGCCTCGAATTACATACTGAATAAACGGACAGTATAAGCAAACCAGCATCCCGGTGATCAAGTAGGATCTCGATCGAAGCGAATAACACGTTGATCGAAGGAGATCAACTGACCGGAAATACGTACGCTACGAAACCACGTATAAATACGTCGACGCATTGGAGTGCATTCTCCGGTAC